TTTATGGGACGTTAAGTTTTGTTTTAGTAGTTGTCATTGAAAAATTAAAAAAAAGTAAAAACTGTTATTATGAATCTGTCATGGACTAGGCATGAAATTGACTTGAAGTTAGAGCTTTTTATTTAATGAGTTGTCTGTTACTGTCATTCTACTCAACTGAAGTTTAAAAAACAAACAAACAAAACAACGCAGAATCATGATAAGTCTGTGCGAATTCTTCCTACATTCTGAAGTGTACCATATGAAAATAATTTCTGTTGTAAAATGCATCTCCAGACTCCATGGATTGGATTTTCACCTTTTAAGGTGATTTCCTTGGTATGTCACAAGGGGTCTCGTCCGCAAGCCGTAAAAGCATTCAACTTTCATTTCTAAATCTAGGTCAGACACTGGGTGGAGCAGATGACTCTGGAAGCATATTGTGACGAAAACCAAACAAAACTTGAGTCCTTTACTTGCTAGCAGCCTCTTAATGTTGAATTCTTGGGTCAACCTAGACTTCATTCCACAATACCACATAAGTTCATTTTGTGTCAGTCTGGTTACTGATTGAATTCAAATCAGGAATCAGAATTCACTTCAACAAGCATCTACTGAATGTTTGTTATATCATTTGGGACATACTAAGTTAATAAATAAATGTTTATCATTTCAATTGAAGAACATATCATTCTCTCACCCCAGGACATCCACTCATTTGTTACTGTAGTAAATTAAAACAAAAAAGGGGGGCTGGGGATTTAGCTCAGTGGCAAAGCGCCTGCCTAGCAAGCGCAAGGTCGTGAGTTCAGTTCCCGGTACCAGAGAAAAACCAAAAAATAAATAAATGAATAAAACGAAAAAGAAAAGAAGAATTTTCAGATTCCTGTGTATCAGCAATAGTACATAAGGTACTGATTTACTGAGTAATTCCCACCCTCATGCGCTTCATGTGCAGGGACTAAAGCTCCCTACAGGCTCAAGCAGGATTGTGTGCCTGTCCCTTGTACTGGCAAATACAGCTCTCGTGTGGTTCAGAATGCCCCGTATGAGCATGTCAAAATAATCTGACAAAGTCTGTTCTCACAAAATTTGTGGGGAGAATAGAACCAGTTGTTCTGGAAACCTCTTGAGAACAAGCTGTCTTGCGAAAGTTATGTTCTGTAACTTCAGTGAAAGGGATTTAGAAACACATGCACACTCTCCGTGTTTTTCTAAATGCAGCCATCGGCTTCCTAAACTGCTTCCACTGTGCCGAAGAACCTTTCTAACAACTGAGAAAGTGGGGCCAGAGGCTTCTGAGAGCTTAGAGAAATCTGATAAATATTCTTTTAGTGGAATTAGTGCCAAACACACACATACACACACACACAATTCTTTTTCTCCGGTAATGGCACCCAGGGCCTTCACATTGAGCCATAACATAGCCCTTTTTATTTTAAAACAGGGTCCCTTTTAATTGTTAATTTGCCCAGGCCAGGCTTGAACTTTCAATCTTCTTGCCTTAGCTTCTCAGAGTACTCGGATTACAGGTATGTACCACCATGCCTGGCCCATAAAACACATATTGTAAGAACAGAGCTTAAACATGGAGTCCATGGAGCTTATAATTAGAAATAGGGATTATTTCAATCTTACTAACTTTTCTACTAAGAAAGTCTTTTTATTTTAAAGAAAATTAAAAAAAAAAAAATACAGAATTTCAAAACAAAATGACAGGAAATTAACAATGATTATTATGTTGTATATTATTATCTTCAAACTAGTTGCTGAGATTACCAGATACAGGCACGTAAGACTGATCAAACATATAAACACTAGCTGTTCCTTTCAATGAACTAATAGAGGGCTGGGGATTTAGCTCAGTGGCAAAGCGCCTGCCTGGCAAGCGCAAGGTCATGAGTTTGATTCCTGGTACTGGAAAAAAAAAAAAAATCAATGAACTAATAGAAATTACATTAATTATAGGTAACTCATTAAAATATAAATTACCTTACTAATTATAATTATCTTAGCTATCACATGTATGTGTATGTGTGTGTATATATATACATATATACACATACATATATATGCACATATTTCTTCCCCTTCCTTTTTTTCTCCTTTCCTCCATCCAGTTGTTCTTTCCTTTGGAGCAGTTTCTAAGTAATGGTTTTGAGAGACAAGCGGCTCCCAAGAACCAGAATTGCGTACTGAGCTGGGATGGCTCGTTTATCCCTGTCCTCTAGCTCTATCTTCCAACTCTGTTCTCTACACCTAGTGGACTCTGAGTGAATGACTTCAGGCCTTACTTTCCTGCCTATTTCTTCTCCCACTAAAGTCCTTGAGGACAGAGACTGTGTCTTCTCCATGTTTGTATCTGCAACAGCAAAAGGCTGCTAAGTAAGTGTCCACGGAACAAACAAGAAAAATTAGGCTTGGAACCATAAACTATATACACTCCCCGCCAAAGATGGAGTTCAGCTTGTTCAAGAAAACATCAGGGTGGTCGCTGATACCTGAGAAAAGGAACAGCAAGGAAGAAGGCTTTGATTCTCAGCACTGAGACACTAAGTGTGTCCTGCTACTTTCTTCTTATTAAGGTTTATATAACCACACTTTATAGGGAACGTTTTTGTTCAGTCTTTTGTACAGATCTCCCTAAAAATGTATCTTCAGGTGAACTAGACTGGCTAAAATAGGTAGTGGTGTTCTAGTCTAACAAAATTATGCAGTTTCACAGCAAAGAGAGTAAGGCCTGTTGGAAACAGAAAGGACAGCAGAGGATGACGGAGGCAGAGGGAAAGAGAGAGAGAATATGAATGAGAATTAAAAATGAAAAGCCTTCAAGTTAATTTCCATGATCAAAAAGCAAAAACAAAAAAAGAGGAGAGCACTATATTACATTATGTACTGAAGAGGCATCAACCAAACATGGACCTGTGAAGATTACCTCAACAGATAACTCTGTGTGATATACTGATATATTTTGCAATTCTATCCCTGCCATTTTTGCAAATTTTGTGACTATATTACTTGCCTTTATCAAAGGAGTGATGGATTCTTTCTGTTGGGATGTTAATTCTCACCCCACCTGATTTTATTTTAATGTGTCTATGCCACTAGAACAATGCATCTAGAAAAATACATCACGGAGAACAAAATTATGTGGGTGTAAAATGAGAGTCTTCATTCACTGCAAGGAGATGACTGATTTTTGTATACAGTAGTCATTCCTGTTTCGTACGTCTGAAAGCTCCCTATGCCGGTGCCATTTCCACTAGAGAACTGGGTCAGTACTGTTTACAGAGTTGTAATCTACCACTTCTCAGCACTAGCAGTTACATTAGCAACAGCTCACTGGTACCTTAACACATCAAATCACAGTCGAAAAGTGTCATGGAAGACACAGCAAAACTGATCCACCATTTGTACAGTCTGTGAAAGAGCTGAGTTTCAGCAGAGCCGTGAGAGCTGACTCAGCTGGGTAGGCTGGTTAATACCTGAGTATGACTGTCACCAGGGCTTGTGTACATGACTATGCAGTTCCCTGCCCTTAAGTGGCTCACCGTGTTTGTGACAGCATATCTCATCCACAAAGATTAAAATAACCAAATTCACAAATCTCTGTTGGTTCCGTGAACAGGTCATACTGGGTCATGCTGGGCCAACAGCTTGCCTCAGATGACATGGAAGAGAGACACCTATGGGACTTGTCTCGCCCTGGACTGAGGGAAAGCTCAGAAAGAAGTGCACGTGTGGACTGATTTCTACGGAAGAGAGGAGGCCAGAGCTTGAGCAAATGAAACAGTAGAACAAATGGGGAATAGGCCACGCACAGCAAAAACACATTTAGAGAAAAATTGAGGGCTTGAGAGATAAAATAGGAATAAGTCAAAAGTGGAGTCTATAAGGAACTACCAAATATTTTCTCACACCAACAGGTGCTATTGTTGAAGTATGCTGTCTTCTGGAAAGAGCTGTTTTAATCCCATCTCTGAAAAAGAAGCAGCAGATAGAGTTTAAGTCATCAGTTAAACTGCATCCCGGAACAAATACGTGACTGGAGGGTTGGGGATATAGCTCCGAGGCACAAGCACCTGCCCAGAAAGTGCAAGGTCCTCAGTTCAATCCCTGATACCTCCCCCCCAAAAAAGGGTATCAAATATATGACTAGAAGTTATGAGACTTGAACCCTGAAAGAGGCAAAAAACTGAGGGACCCTGGAATAAAGAAGTGGTCACCGGATCATGGGTTTCCTTTATTTCATTTGTTTTGCCATTAACTGATCAAGGAACCACCTAACTAAGTAAGACTATGCATGTTACTAGACTATGTCTTGGAGAAGTGCCGCTGGATGCGGCACCAGACACGGCACCAGGCTGGTGGGATGCCCTTCCTCTTACCGGTCCTTCCAATCCCAATCCCAGCCACTTTTGTATCAGATCAAATGCCACTGCACCAAAAATGCTCCTGGAAAATACAGCTGAATCAACCCTACATCAGCTAGACATCCAGCAGATTTATCTTTAGTCACTTCAGTTACCTACCTTTCCCTACTTTATGATGTCAACTGGATATAGTACACATTAAATAAATGAATAAGCAAGGAAGACAAGGAGAGAGGGAGGAAATAAGAGAAGAAATACCGATTCCTAAGGCAGTACCGAGAGCAGAAGAAATATTTTTAAACAAACATGGGTTGAGAAGGAAGGAAACGAAGCTTCAGGGGTCTCCACTTGCATCAGACCCTTCTAAGAAGCTGGGAGGTGCCCAAGCAGTGTATTCGTAGCTGCCTTTCTGCTCTGACTACCCTGTCACACGCTTATGTGGGAGCAGTGTTGGAACAGTTAGGAGAATGTGGAGGCTCTGTTAGAGGAAGTTGCATGGGCTATACATTTAGCTGAGTGCGGTGGAATATATTTACATGTTTTGCAGTTATTGCGAAGTGTGCTTATGTCAGTACCAGCTGTCATTGCGTAAGATTGAGCTCCTGAGATGCTTCTAAATAGCCCTGGGCTTACTAAGCTCCTCGCTCAGTGATGTGTGGGGCCCAGAAGTGACGTCGCATGAGTGTATCCTGTAAGTAACACTGACTGTTAATCGTCATGGTCAGTTTTACTGGGTTGCTAGTAGGACATTAGTAGAGCACACATCTGAATGTGTCTTGGTGGGTCATGAAGACCTGACCTCGGCGACTATATTTGGTCTCCATTTCTCTTGCTCTCTGTTCTCTTCCACTTTGCTCTGCTTCCTGGTTGCTATGAGATAAGCACCCTTCCACCATACTGTTCCAGCTCTGTAGTCAGTCAACCATGGACTGAGAAAACTGTGAGCAAGGGTAAAAATTTTCCTCCATTAAATTGTGGGTATCATATACTTTGTCTAAGCAACAGGAAAGTTGTTCCATACAATCACTCAGCATGGGTATTATGCGGCTAGAGAAGAGAAATGGGTAAAATATATGGATACAGAAGTGAGGTCTGCCAAAATTTCTATCAATAATTGAGTGTGCAAATGTATGCACACAGAAGACTACATTTTCAATGCTGCAAAAATAGATAACTCTCTTAACAGGAATGTGCTTCATAATACAGTAGAAACAATTATAAATGTACCACTAACTTGATATTTCACAGAGTGGAATTTATCAGTTTATGAACCTGCACCAGGAGTACAAGTTGGTTTTTTTTTAAAAACAGCTCACAAATGAAGAAAACTTTATGGACATTTCCCAATATTAGACATTCAGCTTAAATTTTATGACATTAACAATAAAAAGTCAAGCGAACTGTAAGAATATGTCCAAACTTTTACTAATAAGGCTAATAATAAATTTGTATCTACATGGGAGGAAAGACTGAAATTATCTATCATCTCCACAGAAAATATTACAAAATCATGTTGTATGAAGTGACCAGGAAATATGCAGCCACAAAATGTACAAAAGCACCATCACGCGTTTAATGCAAATGTTATTCTTCTGAAATTTGTAATTATTGAGGTATTTCATGACTCCTATTAATTTAAAATGTGTTATATTTGCTTTTATAATCAGGACTATGTATTTTCTTAGGTAATTATTATGGGCTTGGTTATGCTCTACCCCATAAATCAGTACGTTGAAAGCTTAACCCATAGTATGCAGAATGTGACTGCATTTGGGAACAGGGCCTCTAAAAAGGAAATTAAGTTAAAGTGAAATCACTACAGTGGTGGACCTTAATCCAATATAACTGTTGTGCTTATTTAAAAAGGCACAAAGGGAGAGCACAGCAAGTGGGCATCCGTCCATGAGCCCAGGAAAAAGGACTCCAGAGAAAAGAGATCTAACTGCACCCAGCCTCAGACTTCCCAGTTTCCAATAAATTGCTGTTGTGTAAGTCCTCCAGCCCATGGCTTTTGTTACAGTGGCCTAGCAAACTGATGCAATAATCCTTTGTTCACAATTGTGTAATTTTTAAAAATTCTTCTCAAAGTTACAAATTTTAAACCTTTATGCTTCATAAAAGCTAAACGTTAACACACACGATTGTAAGTCTTACAATTCACTATTTAGTGTGTCAACTATAGTAGCTAACGGCCAATACAGTTTTTTTGATCAGAAATCCTTAGTGTTTACACATATTTTATTACAAATGTTTCCCTTTATACAGCCAATTTGTACTAGGGTAATCGTGAAATGCTTAATGGAGCTGAATCACTTGACTAAAATCTTTATTTGTCTTTGGAAGTATGTGCAATCTTACTGTGTGCACGGTAACTTTCTATAGGCTCTTTCAGACAGAAGGCTGAAGAATTCCTAAATGTCAGCCTGAACCTTTTACTAAATTTCTCATTTAGTAAATTTCCTGTCTTTCAGTCTGTTTAAACAACTACAAGGGACATGTTATAAGTAAGAGTTGAGAACTGTGATTTCTTTCATAATCAATAAATCTCATATACTGATTTTATGATCTACAGGAGAGCAAAAATGGGGTAGTAACTTGCCTTCTGTGAAACGTGTCATCATCTGTAAAGTGGGATAATTATTCTTTCTCCAATCATTTCTTTTTTTTTGTTTTGTTTCTTTCCGGTACCAGGAATCGAACTCATGACCTTGTACTTGCCAGGCAGGTGCTGTGCCACTGAGTTAAATCCCCAGCCCTTCTTTGATCATTTCTATATGTTCTTTTCTTCAGGATTGAACCAATCAATGGATGTAAAAAATGTTGCATTAAATTTTTTGCTGTTACTTTATCAAAGGCAATGACAAAGCACCTATCACTGTCAACTTACAATTGTCATTAGTCTCCTAAAATTAGAAGCTAAAGAGTTGTTTTAAAGTATAATCTATGCAGTGAAATCATAGACAGCCCTTGTCTGAGTCTTTAAGTTTTTGTGAATGGCCAGGATGGCTCTTTGAAAAGCAAAGACAGTACCTTTATTTTGTTTCTGGCAGTTTAAAAATTTCATCTTTGAGCAAATATTTGTCGGTAATTATTATATGCCAGAAGATTTTGGAGAAGGTTACCTTTTAATTCACAGGATTTTTTCTTTTTCCAGTTTTGTAATTAGTTCATACTCAAAATAGAAAAACTAGACTTCTGCTTTATAATAGAAATGTTAACACTAAGAATAAGGTGATATGGAAACCAGTGACTCCCCCCTTACCTGATAATCTTTGGCTAAGGAAATGTCCTTTGCAGATAAAAAAGTAGAGAAAGAAGAGCGAAGACAGAGAGAGAGGGGTGAGAGAAAAAGAGAGAGAGAGAGACAGAGACAGAGAGAGAGACAGAGGACAGGGAGAGAGAGAGACAGAGAGAACAGAGAGAGACAGAGAGACAGGGAGACAGAGAGAGACAGAGAGAGACAGAGAGACAGAGAGACAGGAAGACAGAGAGAAAGACAGAGAGACAGAGAGTGCAGTAGCATGCTTGTGCTTGATTCTATGAATAGCCTGGTACACTCACAGAACTACCACAGAAGGCTGAACAGTACTAGACTTTTCATGGATCAGGTTCACATTTCCATGGTTTCCCCCAAATAAGGGCTTTCCAAACAAACTTGGCCTAGGCTCACTCATTTGGCATTTCTCCTATAGGCATGCAACTTGATGTTCTACCCAAAGGTTTCAGGAATGACAGTTTTGGGATATTCATTTATTTAATCCTCTCTCAAGCCAGAGTTGATTTGCATCAATGAGAAATGTGATTAGCAAATGGAACATTCATTTTGTTTGACTGACTCTAAATTTCAGATATAAAGGGTCTGGATTTTATAGCTTATTTTAATGTTTTCTTTTCCTGTGCCCTTTTATGGTATCTTCCAGGATGATAGCAATTTTCCACGCAAATGTACAAAACAGTGTTATACTCCTGGCATTTGGCATGATGTTCATATTTATGGGTAAAGTTACATTGCTTTTATAAAAATGGCCATTGCTGATTTCACTGCAAGTCTTCCCTCCCTCCCACGCAGAGATAATGTACTGATGCAGTGCGCTGAGGCTGAGGAGGACTTCGGCTTGTGCCTCTCCGAGCTCAGTAGTACTTTCTTCTCTGATGTTCAAAATTATTGGTTAGAGTCTGTTCTCTGTCATTCTGCTTAATTCTATTCCATGGCCCACCGACCACACCTTTCAACCGGCCAACTGACACATAACTACTTGCCAAAGGCAGACTCAGTGCTGAGTACATAGCTCAGAGGCATAAGTGTGTGCCTGGCAAGCGCAAGGTCCTGAGTTCGATTCCCAGTACCAAAGGAAAAAAAAAAATTACAACAAAGGCAGACTCGACGATGAAAAACAGACAACTGATCTGAAGTTCTCTATTACAAAAACACCTAGGAAGCTTTCCTTGCAGACAAACAACAAAGGGCCTTAAGAAAGACCCTCAGCAGCTTAACACACAGGATCTGCTAGAGGTCCAAAGAGAACCTGATTTGAAGCTTACAGCCAGGTTCTGGTTGCTAGACTTTGTTGAGGATTTTTGTTAATTGTCTTTTACAAGACAGTGTTGTACATCAGGGTTAGAGCCTGGGGGAAATGGTCTTAGGCAACGAACATAATCCCTCTCTGTCTCAGTTTCCTACAAAGTGAAAAATAAGATCCACATGGGATCTTGTACACTTTCCGGAGGACTAAATGAGCAGATAGATGTACATGAAGGTACCCATAGACAACTCGGTCATTGTGTTGGGTGGTCTCTAGAGCTCACATCTAAGAGGATACCTGTATCACTTCTGTAATTCTTATTTAGTGGAGCTACATGCCCATCCATATGTGATCATGGGGAAATGCTCTGTTTCCTTACAAACAGAGACGTTAGCTTTTCAAAAATTTACACAGATAGGGCTGGGGATTTAGCTCAGCGGCAAAGCGCCTGCCTGGCAAGCGCAAGGTCGTGAGTTCGGTTCCTGGTACCGGAGAAAAACCAAAATAAA